TAGCTGCCTTTGCTAGCTCTTTGGCCTCTGGTTTGGCCTCTTCAGCATCAGAAGTAGCCAAGGAGCCAACCAAGAAATCAAGGAAACATGCTGCCTCAGATGTTGATCTGGAGATAGAGAGCCTTCTTAACCAACAATCTACTAAGGAACAACAGAGCAAGAAGGTAGGGGTAGATGGAAATGCTTTCATACGTGTACGTTGAATTTTAGCTTTGGTTGAGAGGAATTTACCCCTAGGGCGAAGAGCAGTTCTTAGAATTCAGGGTTTAGAGCAGTGGTTCTCAACTGAGGATGATTTTACCCCCCTCACAATCCCCAGAGGACATTTGGCAATGTCTGGAGACATGTTTGGTTTGTCACAGCACGGGAGCACTACAGGCATCGAGTGGGTAGAGGCCAGGGATGCTGCAAAGCATCCTACAGTCTTAGCAGGGCAACCTCCACACGACAAAGAGTTATTTGGCCCAGAATGTAAACGATGCACCAATGTTGGGAAACTCTGATTTAGAGAATCTTTTTCATTATATCTGTTTGGAAGAATCATCAGATCTTGAGAAGAGGAATCCAGATATAGTAATAGAGGGGATGAATACTGGAAGATAGTCATACGGACCAATAATTATGGAAATTGATTGTACAATGTGGAATGGCATTGTAGTGGTTTCTGAGTCTATTAAATATTAATATATTAAATATAACAATAGTTATCCATTTCCTACCGCTCCCCCACCGCCTGCTTATAGAATTGTTGCATAGGCTCTGAGCTAAACATAAAGTGCTTAGCACTGTGCCTTGGTTCAATACCTAATAAATGTTAAGTGGTTTTGGTTGGAAGGAATACTTTCCTGGAGGAGGGGAGTTTAGCTTAATGCTTAGCAGTAGGAACCAGTCTTCTTATATTTTAATTTCATCCCAAATGCACATTTGTGAGAAAGGACTAAACCCGTGACACATCTCTTCTCCTAGGGCTCCAATTTTCCCATATTAGTCTATTGACCCCTCATAGGACATTGATGTCAAGTAGAATTTGCAGAGGTGGTTTAAGGGCTAATTTTATCTACAAACCCTTTTAAGACCAAGGTTTCTTCTGTCACAGGTTAGTCAGGAGATCCTAGAGCTACTGAATACTACAACAGCCAAGGAACAATCCATAGTTGAAAAGTTTCGCTCACGAGGTCGGGCTCAAGTGCAAGAGTTCTGTGACTATGGAACCAAGGAGGAGTGCATGAAAGCCAGTGATGCTGACCGGCCCTGTCGCAAGCTGCACTTCAGGTCTTTTGGGAGGGAGGGGGTCGGATGGGTCTCCTAGAAGCAGACATTCTTTTTAAGCACATTTCTTCCGGTTATTGGGTTTCTGTCTTTAATCCTGTTATTAAGTGGTTTTAATATGATTTGTCTAAGACTTCCAGACTCTGAAGGTACACTCTCAGAAGTAGTGTTCTATGGGAGGGAATACAGGCTGCACTCCCAAAACGATGTGAGATTTAAAGAAAAAAATGCCCCTCTGTTCTTGCAATAGCAAGACATGTCTCCGAGCCCCAGTGAAAGTTAAAGTTCTCTGGAAGAAGGACGATCTTAGGAGAAACAGGAACCTGGGCTGTTAGGTAGGTGCTTTATTCTGCTCTAACTAGCACGCCCTTCCTTCCTGTCATAAGGAAGTTAACTCTTTGCTCAGAGAGGAATTAAAACTCTTCTTTAGTGTAAATTACAGATTTTAATGTCACCTGCCTTCCTTATTTGAAAACTTGTGGAGGCAGCTCTAATGATAGTGAAAGATTAGAAATTTTGCAACAATTTGGACCTCGAACTGTGGCATCTAACTGGAACACCATCTTGATTCCAATTCTCCCTTTTTATTTCCCCAGACGGATCATCAATAAACACACCGATGAGTCATTAGGTGACTGCTCTTTCCTTAACACATGTTTCCACATGGATACCTGCAAATATGTTCACTATGAAATTGACGCTTGCATGGATTCTGAAGCTCTTGGAAGCAAAGACCATACACCAAGCCAGGAGCTTGCCCTTACACAGAGCGTTGGAGGTGACTCCAATGCAGATCGACTCTTCCCACCTCAGGTACCTATCTGCTCAGAAAACTTACCTCAACTTAAGGACCTTTATCTTAGTAGGGTAGCCATACATGTAGGAAAGCAGGGCACATAAATCACCAATCTGCCCTGCTGATTGGGAATGGAGTGGGATAGATATGCATATAAGGGAATAGGAAAATCAAATGTAAAAAGAGGGACTGGGGCCATGAATCTAAGAGTAAAGGAAGGGAAGATGACCAAATACCACCTCATGCAGTGGATCTGTTGTGATATCCGCTACCTGGACGTCAGTATCTTGGGCAAGTTTGCAGTTGTGATGGCTGACCCACCCTGGGATATTCACATGGAGCTGCCCTATGGGACCCTGACAGATGATGAGATGCGCAGGCTCAACATACCAGTACTGCAGGATGATGGCTTTCTCTTCCTCTGGGTCACAGGCAGGTAATGCAGTTCAAAGATATGTAGGTATGGGCAGATATAGTATAGAGTGAGTACTGGGTGGGGATAAAATCCTGGGTTTTCCTAGCCCTGCTATTAAATATATAACTGAGTCAGCCTTTTTTACCTACTGAGATCTAATGCCTGTTTTATAACACAAATGACACATGAATTCTATGTAACTCCACATTTGTTGCTTGTGAAAGGTAAGGTCATTGAGAATAGATACTGTTTTATTTTTTCATTCTTAGATCCATTCTGTTGCCCTAATGGTGTCTCGCATGTTCACTGAATGTCTACTGAAAACAACACATATATCTTGAAGGGAGAAGAAATATGGGCATGGAAATAGCTGTTTAACCTTTCTTTCTTTCTAGGGCCATGGAGTTGGGCAGAGAATGTCTGAACCTCTGGGGGTAAGTAACGATCATTGTGTTGCTTTCTTTTGAGGGAAATAAGTACATAATTACTGTAGTTTATATGTGTTCCTTTCTTTCAGAGTATGCTGTGATTCCTTGACTCTGTAGAATAGATGGCACCACCCCTAAACTGTGAAAGCCTGATTAAAGATCTAATTCTTTTTCTTATACCCCACAGTTACGAACGGGTAGATGAAATTATCTGGGTGAAGACAAATCAACTGCAACGCATCATTCGGACAGGCCGCACAGGTCATTGGTTGAACCATGGGAAGGAACACTGCTTGGTGAGCAGCAGTGGGGCCCAATTCAATAGGTGGAGCAAAAAATAGGAATTGTTTGATTGCTTATTGAGAAACAGTTCAAATGCTGGGGTTTCATAAGGTAATCTGTTCTCTGGTGAGCAGGTTGGTGTCAAAGGAAATCCCCAAGGCTTCAACCAGGGTCTGGATTGTGATGTGATCGTAGCTGAGGTATGTACTTTGCCCAGGCATCCAAAGATCCACATTTTAAAACTGCTATCAGTTATTCTAGTCAGGTATATTCTTATCCCAGGTTTTCTCATTGGGATCATAAACATAAATGGAAAGGGCTAGAATTTCAATCTTGGGTAACTTAAAAGCAGCTAGAGCTTTTATTTCCTAGGTTCGTTCCACTAGTCATAAACCAGATGAAATCTATGGCATGATTGAAAGACTGTCCCCTGGCACTCGCAAGATTGAGTTATTTGGACGACCACACAATGTGCAACCGAACTGGTAAGGTGACCAGAGAACATGCGAGCCCCCAAGGGCAAAACTGTTTATGGTCCAGGACAGAAGTTAGTAGAGCTTCACCTCACATTCCACTAGTCTATAAATGGGCTTCAGAGGATTCTTAAGCAACCAACATTCATTGGGAACCCAACAGGTTTTTAAGATTTAAACCACTGCTCTTAAGGTCTCCACTGTTACAACCTAAAGATCCTTGTTATTCTATGGGATGTACTGAATCTGCCCCCTGGTGGTTACTGAGAATCTGTGTAATCTGTCAACAATTTTAATCTTTCATTCTGTCAGTAGAGCTTTAAAAGACATGCTGCTAGCATTTCACTAATCCAAAGGATACTCACTGGCAGCAGCAACTTTGTGAAGTAGGCCTGGTTAAACATAAGTTATTAACCCTTAATTAGTACAGATCCAGCCTTTTTTAACACCAGAATCTGTGCCCAATTTCTAACCATCCATACTACCATATACTATACTAATAGTAAGATCTTTTTAAAAGAATTGGCACGAATATTCAATGAGACGATAGGCAGTCTTAATAAAAAGTACGTATCTTTTAACAGTATTAAGCCTTTAAATTCCAGAATTTTTGGTTTGCCCCATCTTTCCCCATGCTTCAGGATCACCCTTGGAAACCAACTGGATGGGATCCACCTACTAGACCCAGATGTGGTTGCCCGGTTCAAGCAAAGGTATCCAGATGGTATCATCTCTAAACCTAAGAATCTATAGAAGTACTTCTAAACCTAAGCATCCATAGCCATGGCTCTGCAGGCTGCACCTGAAGAGTAATATTTGTACAATAGGTTTTTTTCCTTATTTAAATAAAACTTTGTATTGTAGTTGGGATTTCGAGGTCAAGTTCTGGCTCTGCCACTTAACAGTGTGTGATCTTGTGTAACTCATCTCTCAGTATGATTACTTATATGTAAACTGGGAATATTACCTACCTCATGGGGTTGCTATAAGGGTTCAAACTAAATGAATGCATGAAAAACATTAAAATATTGATTATACTGTATAGGATCAAAGGTGATTAGCAATTAGTGCTAGTAAACATGGTAATCAAGAAGGGGGTTCTCTGGGACAACATTTCTCAAGGTAAGATTTGAGTTTCATTTAAGATTATCATCACTAGGGCTATCATGCTCGAAACGTTGCTTATTCTGTTACAACTACGTGGCTTTGCTAGTCTATTATTCGTTTACTTCCAGAAAAGTGAAATAAGCACATCTTACATTAAATTTAAATAAGTGCCTAGAGTATGCAGAGAATTAGCCTATATATTATATAAGTGAAAACACCTCTGGCCTATCTTTTAAAAGATACTTCATCAAACACAAGTGGACACAACTTCGTTAGACTTTGGTGAAACCTCATATATTAAGGATGTAGAGTTCTGCCTTTTGCACTCATAAACTGTGATAACTAAGATAAGGAAGAGCACTGACTACAGAAATATCGCAGAGAAATAAATAAAAGACGCTCCTAGGTGATGCCCAGTGTGCTTACTATGTTGAAAACCTTTGTTCTCAAAGTAATTAATGTGCAGATGTGATAGTAATGGTTCCCTGTTTAAGAGGTAACCTTTAATGCAGCCTTTTTTTAGCCCCTTTAAAATGGATGCACACAGTGATGTTTTCTCCTAGGCTCAAAGCTGAGTATTATCCTATCATTTTAATAGTATTTTAGGCAAGTCCTATGACAATTATACCAACAAGTTTTCCTCAAACAATTCCCCACCCCTAGCCACCACCCCTATGTTCTGCTTGTTCATATGCCCTTCACCCTTTCCCCTGTTATTATCACTGATATCTTTGCTTGTACGTGAAAGTAAAAAGCAATTCCAGCAAACTCAATGGCCCTGCTCCATAGCCGGGACCCTGTAGGAGAGAGAAAAGGGGAGAAACGTGAAGGACATAAAGGACCATCATGGGTTGAGATCAGGCACTACCAGAAGCCCAGCTTGTCTTTTTAAAAACAGGCTCGGTGGACATGTCCCCAGCAGGTAAGTCTTCACTGGCTTGGAGAACAGGACTACTTCACAAACACTACTGTGTTTGAGTTTCTAGAGGCTACCCAGGCCAAGAAGACATCCCTAAGAAAGAAAAAGATACAAACTCAGAATTACAGCCTAGATATATTCTTTTTAAACTTTGTCTTAAATAGGTTGACATATATCACCCAATAGGAATATAAGGGCAGTGGGCCTAAAAGTCAGAAGTATAGGCAATCCTAATTTACTTTGGAGGATTTGAGACAGGAAATACCAATGCCTTGTTTCATGGATGTAGGTCAATCTCAGGAAAATTGGGGAAATGGGCAAAATCTTCAGAACTTCTTCCCCTCCCCCCTATACTTGGCACCTTATTGTGCTACTTACCACCTATCCATTCCTTCTCAAATTCTAATTCCCTAAGAGGTCTGATTTGCACTAAGGAGATAAGCTAAACTAAGATTCAGTCACCAACAACTTGATGTGTCTTTTTTTTTTTTTTTGCGGTACGCGGGCCTCTCACTGTTGCGGCCTCTCCCATCACGGAGCACAGGCTCCGGACGCGCAGGCCCAACGCCCATGGCTCACGGGCCCAGCCGCCCCGCGGCATGTGGGATCCTCCCGGACCAGGGCACGAACCTGTGTCCCCTGCATCGGCAGGCGGAGTCTCAACCACTGCGCCACCAGGGAAGCCCGATGTGTCATATTTTTAAAGAGCACACACAGAGGTAATGTAACTGAAAAGTGTGAACTGCTCATTATGTCATCTTTATCTACATGGCAAATGTGAGCTTTTTTTAAGCAGGGGAACTTCTCTAGTAGCTTCTGCAATCAGATGTATATAGCAACCTACTCTACCAAAGGTAAGGTGGTACTGATTATATGCTCAGGGTTACTGTGTTTTCCGACACAGTTAATTTAGTCATACTTGAATTATAAGAAGGAACTGTAAGCTCACCTGCAGTGCTTCACCACGCACTCATTGCTGCAGTACTCATTGTCCCAGTCCTTACTCACAACGGGAGGGTTCTCACAGCCGGACCTCACACATCGAGGCTGGGGTGAGAGTGTCATAGGAGACCCACTCACCAATTCAACATCCATTTGAGAAGGAGACTCAACCTGTGAGAGGGAGAGAGCACCAAAGATGGATTGGATTGCTACTTACCTAGCTAGCCAGCTAGTCAAATTAACTCTAGGATCCAATGGAGCAACAGATGTTACAGTCCCTCACAGATGGGGGTACAGTTCCAAAAGAAGGTGAGTTCTTGGTCTTCTCTATATCCAGCTTTAGAATTTTGCCATGCAGATTGACATGAAGATGCTTCCTGTAAGGGGAATGCTGCCATACTGCTAGTGTTTAATCTTAATTTTACCTATCACTGACTTTATTCTACAGTTGAATAATATTCCTCTGAAAATATCAAATCAATAGAATGTGAATAGAGGTTGGGTCACCTCAACTAAGATCAGAGACTAAGAAGATAAAATGTGGTGCCATTAGCAAAAAGGAAAAAAACTTAGAGATTAATAGTTTCCTGGTTTTGCAGGGGTGGGGTGGGTGGTATTTTTCTTTAAAATGACTGCTTCCTTCATTGTGGGACTACAGTCACAAACAGACCCATATTTCAAAATGACTACTGGTCAGGTACAAATTAAAACTAGGGTAAACTGGCATCTGTTTGTTTCTGAAAAGAGTCAATGATACTAACCAGTTGAATTTTTCTACCTGTATTCCCTACCCATCCCCTTACTTAAAAACATCAAGCCAAGCAGTCAAGGTTTGGGAGAAATGGAAGGATTTATCTCCAAAGCTTTGGATCCTTGGGTAAGACACCTGAAAAACAACTCTATGCTTAGGATATATCTTCAGTTGACTACCGTATTACTTCTGCTTAGTTAAGGAGTAGTCTAGGATAGGAGGCCCTCTTAATGTTTCTCACCAAGAACTCTACAGAGTATCTTGCAGGGAACTGACAGGATATTTCATACGCCTAGTTGTACCAGGCATTAAATGCTAGTAGCAACCCCTGCTTTTATTAGATCAACCAAAAACGCTTACACATTTTCACTGGTCTAGAGGAAATACTTGAAAACAGAGGCTCACCTCAGGAACTACATCTGTGATCATCTCACAGATTGTCTCAGGAGAGGTTTCCTCCACTGTGTGGGTCTCAGGGCTGCTGTTCACAGGCCGCTCCGGACTCCTTTCTACAGGTGGTGGAACCAAGGCAGTCTGCATTTTTAGAGTGGGCGGAGGCACAAGCTTGACCTGCAGTGGCGGCGGCTGCTGCTGTAGATTGATTCGAAATTTCTGAGGTGGGGGCTGCTGCATGGCCTGCAGCGGGGGAGGCTGCTGCAGAATGGCGACTTGCTGCTGAGCCGGGGGCTGAGGCATTTGTTGCAATGGAGGGGGTTGTAGTCGGGGCGGAGGCAATTGCATGGAAGCTGCTGCTGCAGCTGCTGCCTGCAGCACTGACCTAGTGACGATCTGGGCTTGCTGACTAGGCTGGATAGTAGCTGTACTGGTTTGGCCTAGTTGGATCCCCCGGGAGGTCACCACTGTGGCTGGGATAACGGTAACCATCCCTCCTTGAGACATAGTAATAGAAGAGGGCAACATCTGTTTGGTAATAATCAACTTGGTAATATTGGGCTGACCCCCAGCCCCAGAAGACGCCTGGTTTGCCACATAGGATGAAAGAGTGGAATTAACAACAATGGAAGGAGACAGGGCAGGGGGCTCTGTTGAAGCTGCTGCTGGAGAGGCTGGCTCAGCAGTAGTCACAGGAGGTGGAGAAGGAGTCTGTGATGGGGGCGCTGGATCCAATTCCACTGTTTCCACAGTAGCCTAAAAGGAGACCAAAAAAAAAAAAATATATCAGGAGATTTATTCTCTTCCCCAGGACATACTCACTCTAATCACCTCCCAAGAAAAGGTACATCACAGATTGGGGGGGCGGAGGGTATGAAGAGAAAGAAAAAAGAGCAGCCATGTGTCTGCCTGGCTAAAGTAAACAATGAAAATAAACTCAGACTGTTTGGCAAGGTTTATGATGGAAACAAATGGGAAACCTGTTACATATTTTTGAGCTTTTAATAACTATATACTGTTAATAGGTTCCACAGGTTTTTGGTGGTATTTACTTCTTATAATTGCTAATATACAGCTTTAAAATTGTTTTTATTGGTTTAAATATCCACCTACCCCAATCTTCTTACCTGACACTCTTGATTGTCTTTATATGCAGCCAGAGCCTTCAGATACTCTTTCTTGGCAGCTTCAGTTTTCCTCTTATATACCTGCATGAAAGACAGACTGTTTAGAAAGTCCACAAACTCCTAGGAAAGACTGATAATCCTACATTATTCATCAATGAAAGACAATTCATCTCAGTCTAAATATTGACAACTCCTGAAAGCTAGTAATCAAGAGAGCCACCATGGCAGACTTTCCAGTGACCATGCATCTGAAAGCCAGCCAATCAACAGTAGGCTTGCAGAATAGCTACACTTCTAAAGCCAACAGCAACCCTTGCTCACACTTGTGTAACCAGAACAAATCCTGACCCCCAATAAGATGAGTAGTCTGCTTAGTCTGGGATTGTGTCTAACCAGTATACTTTCCCTTAAGGAATGTGCTAAACTGTTTGCAATGATAGCCACAAGAATTCTTCCTGTGCCGCATACCTAGTCTTTCATCAACAGCCGAAACTTATTTCCCATTCCTTTGAATTTGGGCTAGCTCTGTGAGTTGCTTTAACCATTAGAATGTGGCTGAATTGACAAAAAGAGAACTTGGGGACATCTGTTTTTGTTCTCTTGGAATACTGCTCTAACTCTGCCATAGTGTAAAGAAGCCAGTCTAGGGCTTCCCTGGTGGCACAGTGGTTGAGAGTCCGCCTGCCGATGCAGGGGACACAGGTTCATGCCCCAGTCCGGGAAGATCCCACATGCCACAGAGCAGCTGGGCCCATGAGCCATGGCCGCTGAGCCTGCACGTCCGGAGCCTGTGCTCTGCAACGGGAGAGGCCACAACAGTGAGAGGCCCGCGTACCGCCAAAAAAAAAAAGAAGCCAGTCTAGCCTATTTGGAGGATGAGAGACCATGTGAAAGAGAACCAAGGCATTTCAGCCAACAGGTAGCACCAACTGCCAGACACGGGAGCAAGGTCATCTTGATAAGCCATACCAGCTGTTGTTTGGGTACGACTGTAGGAATGAGCCCAGGTAAGAACACCAGGAAAAACATCCAACCAATTTACAGAATCATAAGAAATAATAAATTGGCGACTTCCCTGGTGGTCCAGTGGTTAAGAAATAAGAAGACCTGGGGAGTGTAGGGTAATGACAATTATAGCCATCTTCAATTTCAACTGTATCTTATATTCATGTAGTATCACAATTTTCATTTGTTTAATCCAGGTTAAATTTAGGGAGATTAACTATAGTTCTCAAGTTTATATGAGGCCAATGAAAAAATTCAAACTTGGCTGTGGATTTTAGAGTTAGCTACAGCATGCAACTCACCAAAGAATAGCCTAATTTTACAGATAGAAAAAAAAGGCATAGAAAGTTAGATTCAGTGTTTTTTATAATAATTTTTAAAATTTGTTTTTATTTATTTATTTTTTAAATATTTAAATATTATTTGGCTGCACCGGGTCTTAGTTGTGGCATGTGGGATCTAGTTCCCTGACCAGGGATTGAACCCGGGACCCCCGCATTGGGAGCATGGAGTCTTGGCCACTGGACCACCAGGGAACTCCCTATAACTTTTAGGTGGGTATTTGGGATTCAGTGTATGGCTGCAACTTTTAAGACGAAGGATGATCTTGAATGCCATTAACAAAGAGCTGATATGAAATAACACATAAGAAAGTTAAAACTTGAACATTCACTAACCACTAGTTCCTTGTTATTTCCTCACCTGTTTTTGCTCCTCTCCAAGACTGTCCCACATGGAAGCCACAATTTTTGAAACCTCCCCAAAAGTGGCATTGGGATTCTGTCCCTTGATGGCAGCCTGTGTGTCACGAAAGAATAAAGCATATGCTGAAACTGGTTTTTGAGGTTCATTAGGATCCTTCTTTTTTCTCTTCTTTGGGGCCTTCTGCTTTTTCCCTGCTTCCACCACAACTGTCTTCTGGCTGGGAAGTTGCTGTTGGGGGGAAAGAGAGAGAATTACAAGAAGAGAAGTATCATGTCGGGAGAACTGAAAGAAAAGGACTTTTATATGGGGTAAACTAGTCACATGAATGGAATTCTCAGAAATGCTAAAAGTAGAGGCAATAGGATTAAGACAGTAAAGTATGTGAGGACCAATAAGAATGGAGATTGGAAGGAGCGTTATAAACTATAAATAGAGAGGCAGGACCCCAAACCCAGAAAAGAGCAGAGGAGACAGCAGGGCAGGAGTAAAGAATACTTAGTAGGATCTGTAGGTCAAGAGTTTTATCCCAGAATAATATGGCAGATTTGATTTTGGCAGGGAATGCCTCACCCTCCGGAATTCCTCAACACCATCCTCATGAAGTGAACTAGTAGGTGAAGGTGTGGTTGAAAGACGATCCTCAGGTGACTGGGCAGGTGGCAGGATGGTGCCACCCCCTAAGCTCAAACCAAGCTGAGAACTCAGTTCTGACTGATCAATGGTGGTCAACTGGCTATGCCCCATCAAGCCAGATGTCATGTCTGTCATTGGTACATCAATTGTAACAGGTGGATTGGCGCTATACTGAGTTCCTATAGAATGATCCAAGTCCTGAGAGAAGCACAAGGACTAATTAAACACTAAATATAAAAAACACTACCCTTCCCTTCCCCCCACCGGAATTCAGGACAATTTATAAACCCACTGCTTACCCAGAAAGTATCATCATTTAAACAAACATCAAATAATCTGTCTACATATAAAACATATTAAGCTTTTTAATAAAGTACAGAAATTACAAATTGAGTACTAAGTCACTTCTTTGTACTCAAAGGCCTATTCCAAAATAACTAAAAATAACCAAAGAAGTCATAATCTTGGACAAGTTAATTTAAAGAGCAAGTAAGTTATTCAGTAATCTAGAGACAGTGATGACACACAGGGGAATGAAAAACTTTCTCCCTGTACCCTCCTAAATAACGGCTGTTAAAGCTGCAATACACAGGCAAATCAGAGTGCATAAGGGCAATGTTAGAGATGTTTGGCATCAAGTATAGTGTGTGAAGATGAGCTAGTAATGAGATGTGCTAGAAGACCAAATACACTGATTTATAACACATACTAATCCACAATTAATACTTTTGGTTCAGACAGTTTTTTGAATACATCCCTCAACATGCCAGCAATCACACTCACACTTGAATCCTAGGATATGAAAGCCATAGTAGTAGGGAAAAAACTTCTTTCAAAAATCCCAATAAATCGGGGCTTCCCTGGTGGCGCGGGGGTTGGGAGTCTGCCTGCCGATGCAGGAGACATGGGTTCGTGCCCTGGTCCGGGAAGATCCCACATGCCGCGGAGCGGCTGGGCCCGTGAGCCATGGCTGCTGGGCCTGCGCGTCTGGAGCCTGTGCTCCGCAACGGGAAAGGCCACAACAGTGAGAGGCTCGCGTACTGCCCAAAAAAAAAAAAAAGAAAAATCCCAATAAATCATTTTCATTTCAGGGTTAACACTGGACATTTTACAATTTTAAACCAGTTTTCAAGTAAAATTGATTCAGATGATACATCTCACTTATTCAGGGGAAACGAGGTCTTTGTTGGTGAGCCTTTAGCCAGAAGAATGGAAAATAAGTACTACCCAAGTGTAGCAGGGAATAGAGTTACTTATGTCTCCCCTAACACCATGCCCATGAGCTTGGGTAAGCCTGATAATGTCTTGCCCCTTACCATGGTCAAGCCCCCACTCAGGAGCCCCCCGCCCTGCTCCATCAAGCCATGGGTCATGCCCACAGGCATGTCCAATGTCTGGACCCCATACTGGGCTGAAAAGCTGCCATCCTGAGAGGAGGAAGGGTCTGCCAGGTCATCAAAGTGGCCAACCACATCTGAGACAGCCAGTGAGGGATCAGAATCCAAGGAGATAGGGGGGATTTCAAATTCTTCATCACCCAGGCTTGGTGTATGGAACGTCTGTAGGGAGGAAAAAAAGGGAAAAAGACTTAGTGGGAAGAGGAGGAACTGCATACTGCTAAGTGAAGAACATGGCTGAGTACTGGAGATTCTCAGTGTACCTCTTTTTGGCCTGGATCCTATTTCTGTTATCAATTTCCTAGGACCTATTTAATTTAGAAATAAATCTTCTTCCTCATATCCTTGGCCATATGTCACGTACAAGGCTGCCAACATCAATCACAATTTTCAGTTCTTTTCTCTCTTTTCTATCTTTACCATCTTGGTTGTCCTAAACTATTTTGCCTATTGGTCTAATGAATGATTCTTTCAGCACCATTAGCAGGGACCCAACCTTTATAACCTGTTTAGCTATGATGCTTAAAATCTCTCTAAATATTCTAATAGATAGCAGTTATTTCATACTTACTACACCTGAACTGTTAGACCACAGAAATTCATGTCAACCAGACAATTATACTTTGTTGTTTTAGGTTCCTTTGAAGCAGATCCTAAAAGGATCATGGGAACTTTATGCCCATCTAAAATATATGCACTTAAGAGTTTCCTACCTCTTCTCCATTTTAGAAATCATGATACTAACAACAAATAAGATTCTCATGTGTACAAGATTTTTGGAAAACCCAACAATGCTAAGATAAGGATAATAGTGAGGAGAAAAACCTTCATTAAGAGATATAGCCAGAGGGCAAACTGGTTCTCTAACAGTTCCTGAACACATTCCTGTCTTGCTCTGAACAAGACTTTCTGCGAGAAAGGAAGAAAAAGATTATTCCAGCTGAAGACCCAAACCCTTCCTCTGAGTCCAACTACAATAATAATATACTATTTCTATTCTGAATGAGGCCACAATTCACGGAGCTAACAGACCAATGTCTGACCTAAGATACATTAAATGTTATGGTTCCTTTTGACACTAAAAAACTAAAATGGCAGCATCGGCAGCAATAGAGCATTAATAATGGCAAGAGACTTTGGTGTCACGGAGATCTGGGTTCAAGTCCCTTCTCTGCCATTTACTATATGACCTTGAATGGATTTTCCTCATCTATAAAATGGGACTTGTAATGGTAATCTCCTTATATGGTTATTATGAGGATTTATGGGATTTAGTATACAAAACTTTATCACATGGCCTGATATATATAACTGCTTAATGATAATATTAATATCCTAATTATTATTAACTTGCCACCTGCCCCAACCAATTACCACAGATTGCTGGAATTTTAGAAACTTTAAATTCTATCAACCTTGTCACATGGCACAGTAAATACCAACTGATTCAGATCAAATTAAATAGGTACCCACAGTTTCGGGGTTTTTTTCATGATTAAGTAAAGCATTCTTTAGGAATTCCTCAAGATTTTTCCAAACCCAGAAAGGATCTCACTAATATCACCATTTTAAAATTTTGCTAGAAAGAATATTTCCAGCTAGTAAAACTAGGGAGAATATGTCTGTGAAATGCTCGATTTCTCTGAAATCACATCACACTGAGAGAAGTTTCCTAAACGACAAAAAGATATGTATATAGCTTCATTTCTATATTTTCCTCCTCCAAGAGCAGTACTATTTTACTTAGTATGGTAAAAATTTGTGATATAACATGAGAGGAGCATATACATAAAGAGCACGGGAGCAGACAATTCTTTAGGAAAAACTAAAACTCTCCCCAAGAACTGAACTTTTCTCAGTACACAACTCATTTTTGTTATTGTGTGGAAGTTGTTAACTTCAGGTCCATGATTTTTTTCTGAGATTTCAGTTTAAGTCCATGTGCTCATTTTTCAGGAAGAAGAGTACAAAGATTTTTACCAAATTCTCATGCAAACAAACAAAAGTTACAGGGGCAGGAAAAAGGACCTGGGGAAACATTTACTGTACTACATTAATAGCTGTATAATAGTGGTATACAATTTTTTAAGAGGATACAGCAAAAGTAAAGCAAAAAATGACTATCCTATTCTGCTTACCACAACAAATAAAAAAGCAACTCTGCCAAGATATGAAAATGATACTATTGATGAGAACTAAAAAAGAATAAAAACTCATATCCAAAACAGGAGACCACTGTTCTGCAAAGGACCAGCCCTCATAAACTATCTGGAGCGCTCTCATGAAGCACACTAAAAAACCAGACATCTAGAGATTCCATAGTAACCAATTAACAAGACATTCTTTCTATGTACCACCCCCCCGAATGTGGAAACAGCTTTGTTATTCAGTATCTGTGGCTTTAACGGTGTTTTTTTTTTTATTTTGTTTTGTTTCTTCCTTTAAAAAAGAAGAGTAAAATAATGGTAATGATCAAGAATACAGAAAGGTAAACCACACACATACTAGAATAGAGATCTACTCTAAATCTTTTACTACCACAAGTTATCTGTAAGATTATAGATAAATCCAATATCTAAAGTTATTTTATTTTAGTGGATTCACCACATAACTAAATCATACTCTAGACTGTCAAACATAAAGATAAAACTGTAGCAAATATTAAAGTAAAACTAAATGATTTGGACACAGAAGGTGGAAATAGGAACATGATAGCACTACCTTCTCAACTCAGCTTTTGTTTCCTTCTCTGTTAAATTCCTAGGCCTTTATGAGGAAGAGAGCAGTTTGGGAATTACACTTTATAAGCAAGGATGCTTAGCACTGAGAGAACCAAAATATAAAAAAATACCATTTCCCTACCTTTTCACATTCCTCTATATCAAAACACACAATCCAGTATTTCTTTAAGTACTTTCTTGTGTAGATTATTCATTTTAAGGAAATTTATTTTAATCAAACACGTATTTATTCAACATTACCCCGGTAGTACAGATTATTAAAACAGTTTAATTGTTCTTAAAAACTAATACAGTAGTGAAAATTTTAACTATTCAGCCTGAAATCATTAACTGGTTCTAATGATTACTTTTCCTAATTAAGGATAGTTATCTTTATAACTTATTTCCCCAGAGTGCTCAAAGCACAATATCATTATTTAAGTGCCAGCCTAAACAAGAGAAACAAAAAGATTAAACTCCCTTCAGATTATACAGCTTTCCTATCTCAAGCAATGCTGTAATAAATGCTAAGCCTTCCTCTCTGGACATGTACTTTTAAAAAATTATTATTATTTCTTATTTTACTGAGGCATAAAATTATGTAAAGCACATAAATTTTAAGTGTATGGCCCAATGAATTTTTACATATGTAAACACCCAATTAACTACCACCCAGATAAAGATACAGAACATTTCCATCACTCTAAAAAATTTTCTCATGCTCCTTCCTAGTCAATACTCCCTCCCTTCCACAACAGGTAGCAGTATTCTGATCTCCATCAGCATAGTTTAGTGTTGTCTATTCTTGATCTTCATTAAAAAATGAACTCATGGGGACTTCCTTGGCAGTCCAGTGGTTAAGAGTCCACGCTTCCACTGCAGGAGGCACGGGTTTGATCCCTGCTCAGGGAACTAAGATCCTGCATGCTGTGAGGTGCACCGTCCGCCACCCCCCTCAAAAAAAAGAACTATTATAGTGTCTACCCTTTTTTGTCTGGCTTCTTTTACTCAGTAATATATTTTTGAGATCACCCAGGTTGCATTTATTAGTAGTTCATTCTTTTTTATTGCTGTGTTGTATTCCTTTTAACAAATCTATCAGTTTATAGACATCTGGTTTTGTTTCCACTGTTTAGCTATATAAATAAAGTTGCTGTGAACATGTTTCGGTTAGTATATGCACTCATTTCTCTTACGTATATATCAAGGAGTGGAATTACCAGGTCACAGGGTAGGTATATGTTTATCTTTAGTAGATACTGCTAGTTTTCCAAAGAAGCTGAATCAATTTACACTCTCACCAGCAATGATTAAGAGTTATCTATATCCTTGCCAACTCCTGGAATTGTCTTTTAAATTTTCAACATTCTGATGGGTGTGAAATGGTATCTCATTGTGATTTTAATTGGTATTTCCCTAATGAGTGACGATGACAATGACACTTTTTCATACGCCTAATGGAAATTTGGATATCCTTTCTTGTGAGGTGCAAGTTTGTTTATTTTTTAAAATTTATTTATTTTTGGTCACGTTGGGTCTTCGTTGCAGTGCGTGGGATTCTCATTGCGGTGGCTTCTCTTGTTGCAGAGCACGGGCACTAGGCGCGTGGGCTTCAGTAGTTGTGGCACGTGGGTTTCAATAGTTGTGGCTTGCGCACTTTAGAGCACAGGCTCGGTAGTTGTGGCACAGGGGCTTAGTTGCTCCATGGCATGTGGGATCTTCCCAGACCAGGGTTCGAACCCGTGTCCCCTGCACTGGCAGACAGATTCTTAACCACTGCGCCACCAGGGAAGCCCTGAGGTGCGAGTTTAAATATTTTGCCAATTTTAAAATGGGATTCTTTATTTTATTCTGCAGAAGAATTTGAATATATTCTGAATATGAGCCAGACACATATATTAAAATATCTTCTCCCAGTCTGTGAATTTCGGGAATTCCCTGGTAGTCCAGTGGTTGGGACTCAGTGCTCTCACTGCCAGGGCCAGGTTTGACCCCTGGTCAGGGAACTAAGATCCCACAAGCCGCATGGTGCAACCAAAAAAAAAAAAAGTTCTTAATTTCAATGAAGTCCAATTTTTCAACTTTTTTATGGTTATTACTTTTGTGGACATTTCTTTTTCTTGCAAGAAAACTCTAAAACTTACTCTTCTAAAAGAAAAAAAAATTTTTTAATTACCTTTATCTAGTTCTAAGACATATTTGGGGTGGCTCACAGTAAGACCAGAAAAAACAAAAACCACAAACCAATTGAAATAAAGGAAAAACAAATTTAAAAACTGAAACAACAACAAAACCAAACAAACAAGAGGGGAAAGAAAGGTGAAGAAGTTGTAATGACAAGGAGAAATGTTAACACTGACAGGGCTCTAGGCTAAAGGAATCCACTGAAATTTAGTTATGAGCTTCTTGGCAAAATAGTTTTTTAAAACATTTCTTAAAGTCATAAAAGCAAAACCAAAGGATAGACTCAAACCCGGAAAGTTTCTTGATGAGCCCAGTGTGAAATTTACAACACTCTAAATAAAGAAATTTAAGGACTTCCCTGGTGGCACAGTGGTTAAGAATCTGCCTGCCAATGCAGGGGACACGGGTTTGAGCTCTGGTCCGGAAGATCCCACATGCCGCAGAGCAACTAAGCCCATGTGCCACAACTACTGAGCCTGTGTTCTAGAGCCTGCGAGCCACAACTACTAAGCCTGCACGCCTAGAGCCCGTGCTCCGCAACAAGAGAAGCCCAGCACTGCAACAAAGAGTAGCCCTGGCTTGCCGCAACTAGAGAAAGAGTAGCCCCCCTCTTGCTGCAACTAGAGAAAGCTCTGCAACTAGAGAAAGCTCTCGCGCAGCAATGAAGACACAACGCAGCCATAAATAAATAAATAAATATAAAAAAAAGAAATTTAAACTGTGGAGACCTGATTCAGAAGAAACTGGCAATGATGCGTTTTCATGTGGATGTGACCAATGTGAAATTTACAGCACTCCAAACAGTGAAATTAAACCATGGAGATATCACTCAGAAGAAACTAGCAGAGAGACAGCAAAGCATCAAACAGATTTTTGTTTTATATTGTTTCTAAATTTGCTGCTTATTTGATTCACACTTTCCCCGGCTTAGGAGAATAATAATGAATAGTAATCACGATAAAGCAGTTTAAAAAAAGCAGCAAATGCTCCTTGCCAATCTAATTCTCATCCATGTAAACATTAAATTTTGTTATAAGTTCATTCAACAGCAATTGATAATTCTAGATACAAAACACTGATGCAAATGGTTTACACAACGTTTTTTAAAAAACTAAAATCCTCAAAAGATAGTAAAAAGTTCAAGACTTCAGTTTCTCAAAGACCGAAAAATTTATTTTTCTGTTCCATCTTACTCTTTTGCCTTGCCTAAGCAAATGATACACACTTACGACAATATTTCAACTAAAACTCTTCCACGAATACTAAAGGACCTCACCATGATCGTTACTTCTACTTCACATCATCATAAGAAACTATTATTACAGCCATCTGACAGCTGGGGAAACTGACATACAAGGGTGAAGTAACCTGCCCAAACTCCGAGTCACTGGCAAACAGAAATGCATGGTCTAGGGACTTCCCTGGTGGCGTAGTGGTTGAGAATCTGCCTGCCAATGCAGGGGACACGGGTTCGAGCCCTGGTCCGGGAAGATCCCACATGCCGCGGAGCAACTAAGCCCGTGCGCCACAACTACTGAGCCAGTGCGCCACAACTACTGAGCCTGCACTCTAGAGCCCGCACGCCACAACTACTGAAGCCCGTACACCCTAGAGCCCGTGCTCCACAGCAAGAAAGGCCACCGCAATGAGAAGCCCGTGGACTGCAAAGATGAGTAGCCCCGCTCGCCGCAACTAGAGAAAGCCTGTACGCAGGAACGAAGACGCAACGCAGCCAAAAATAAGTAAAATAAATTTATTAAAAAAAAAAAAAGAAATGCATGGTCTACTCAACTCCCTTCATGTTTTCTGGCAACTATTTCCTTTCATCCTGTCACTAGCAAAACAAGCTAACACCATGTAAGTAAACATAACTATTAACTTTTCCAAAAATCACTGGGTAGGAAATTTAAATGAAACAAAAACCCCTTCAACAGAGTATGTTTTAAAAATGAACACATTCCACAGTTAACCTCTGGTAGGTAAATTCCTTCCCGCTCTCAAATTTCTTTGGCTTAAACATCTTCTCCCCGCTGCGATCTCCCAAGATTATTGTAGTTATTTCTCCTCCACGAAAGGAGACAATTCCACTCTGTATTCCAATCCAGAATCAGTCTGAAATAGGTTCGGTCTTTTCCAACGTCCTGCTTTTCTGATGACAGCAGCTTCCCGGGCCTTCCCCATGGTCCTCATAGCCTGTGGAGGCAGCTGCCACTTTTCTCCAAACATCAATCGCGGCCTCCCGTTCCCAACACCCGGCCCCTGGCGTCCGCGCTCTCCTCCCCACCACCCGGCCCCGCCGCTGCCTCACGCCCTCCCCCCCACAGCGTCGGCAGCTCGTGCTCACCTCGGCCCCTGACAGGAAGGGGTGCGAGGGCCCTGTGATCGTCAGGTAATTGTCACTTCCTCCGGGAAACTGGAAACCAAAAGAAAGCCGCGGGGATAAGTTAGGGGAAGCAGGGAGCTGGCTCGGAGAGACAGATTCTGACCCCGACATGATGACATCACTCCCCAAACCCTGCTCTCTCTCCCCTCCCGTCAGCAGCCTCTCCGCCCGGCTTCCCGCCTCTGCTTCAACCCCGTTAGCCACGCTCTCTCGCCAGCCTTCTAACTCTGAGGAGCCTACCTCCATCTTCACACAACGCCTACCACGGTCTCAGTGCCCTCATCGTTCCCACCGCCCCACTGGACACGGAACTGCCGTCACTTCCGCAACGACGTGCGTCGCTCTCCGCTGATTGGAAGGAGCGCCGTGGGGCTGTTGCGAGTCAGCCCGGGAAGGCCGAGAGCACTGAAAGGCTAGCTATCGCCCCCTGGAGCTTGGTGGGATAATGGCAGGTAGGAGTTTTACAGACGGCCCTGGAGCTGGTATCTGGGTATTACCGTCGCTCCGACCGAAAGGGGATTTCGAAGGAGAGTAATAGAGACGTGATCTGGGCTAGAGGGGCCGGAGGTCGATAGACTGAGTGGCTAGAGAGGCCGGAGGTAAAGGGCTGTAGAAGTCGGGCGGACCCGGAATCCAGAGGAAACGGGACCATGACTTATGCTTATCTCTTCAAGTACATCATCATCGGGGACACAGGTAACCCGGGGCGACAGCCCTCAAGCTGGGGCGGGGATTCGAAGCACCGAAATCGGGTCTTGGGGGCGGGGCTCATTCAGTGGGCTGGGCGATTAAGTGAAGCGGGGGCGGGGCGG